CATACTCCACCATTAAACGTATTTAAGGCTCAGTCACCAGCTGGTTAGTTAATATAATACCACACCACAAACATATTAGAGGAGTACAAGCTCTTCTCTGGAAATTTATTCCCTTAATGTGCTCCTTTCCATCAGTTTAAAAAACAAAAATCTGCTCAAGCTTGTAAGTTCTCTAAAAAAAAGAAGGTAGGAGATGGGAGGAAGTAAAGGCAAGACAAGCAGAAAAGCTTTCTAGCTGTGTCTTATCACAGTCAAAATGTCCCAGCTGCTAAGAGGCTTCCCAAGTGACATGCACATTGTACTCATGCATACCTGAGACTCCCCACAATTGCCACAGATGTGCTTTTGCTCAGATTCTCCTTTACTTTAACTTCTTAAAGATACTTCAAAGGAGATCAAAAAGCTTGGAAGAAGTGAAGTTGTTTAGTCTACAGAAGATAGATGGGAGGCTTGCTCTCATTCTTCAAACACAAAGGAAGTTGGTATGAGAACAGGACTAAACTGCTCACCAGGTCTACTGCAGACAGGAAAAAGCAAAGGAGACTTAAGTTAGACATTTGGAAAACTTTCAAGTAAGAGCAAGGGACTGAACAGATTGCCTATGTAAGTTGTGGAATTTCCATCATCAGAGAGTTCTAAAAACAGGTTAGGCATGTAAGTATAACTTGTAGATGAGAATGAGTTTGGCATCTTCTGCTCCTCTTCTGCTAAGGTCTTTTCATTACATCTAGCATTAGAAAAAAAATATTTTCCTCATTTTATATCCCAGTGTTTTAACTTCTAAAAATATGCAGCAAAATCTACCTTTGTAATTGTGGTATCTTCCTGTATTCAGGTATAGTAACTTAGAAGGTTAAAACACAGCAAAGGTTTTCTAACTGTGAAAAACAGGGGAAAAAAAATCACCTGTGAAATACAACATCAACATATTACTTTCATATTCTGAAGAAATTGGTATATAAATTAATTTGCAAATGCATGATGTTGGTGAGCAGACTACAACATCCTTTCAAGTAGGACAGGACAGGCCCTGCTGTGGGAGGCCACCATCCCATACACCCAGGGCTGAGCCTGAAGTATCCTGCAGCCACTGAGAGCAAAAAGAAGACTAGCCTAAACACTCCTTATAGGGCTTCTGTTATTTGCCTGACATGCACAATGAGAAGGCACATGTTCCAGTGCAAGGTCAGCACCACACACAGAAGTCTAATGATGGATGCAGCTTAAAATAGACTAAACTCCTTAAAGCACCAAAGAGACATGCTTATTCGACAGGTATTTCATTCCAGAAAGTCCTTTTCTTATAATTAAGCTTCTTAATTCTTCTTAAAAAAGAGAAACTTGTTAGGAAGTTCATATTAGAGCTGTGTCAGCTTTACAGCTTAATGTGATCTTTTCTTTCTTCTATCACATTTTCCCAATACATGAGCAGGAGCTAGTGTGTGTAGCCAGTTCTGTTACCACTTCTATCACAGAGCACAGCTTTTAGGTACAGTTCTACCATCTTTGCTTTCTTCCCAGAATTTTAACAGGATTTCTTTAAAAGGGCAGCATTCAAAGGGAAGGGTATAAGTAAAATGTCACACATCACTGTAATCTTCCTTGCTACCTTTTTGCCTTACAATACTAATGAGACTACATAGTATTTACTTTGTATTAGCAAAATATATGCTGTTGATGGATGACACATCAAGCTCCTAATTTGGGTTCTTTTGTATGAGTTTTGTAAGTCTAAAATAGCAGCAGGTAAGTTACAGTGCTCATACTGATTCTAAGTAAATGCATAATTGTCAATGCACATCTCAAGTCCTAATGCAGCAGCCAATTTGTTTTTCAAAAGAAAAGTGGGACAACTGATGAATTACTGATCTATAGCCACCAAGCCTACCCAGTAATTCTTGTGTTTAATTTTTTTTTCCTTAAAAGAAAAGCAGCTTTACATCCATTAAAAAAAAAAAAGTTCAGAAAGCTGCTTTGAGAAACATCCAAACCCTTCTGAGACTGTATTCAGTAATGAGTAAAGATGGCTTTTACTGCACTGGAGGGAGAAAAAGAAAAGCTTAAAAAAAAAAAAAGTGCTATCAAAGGAACATTCTGCTACTATTTAATACTAAGGTAACCGTGGAGATGGAATCTAAACATTCATTTCCCCAAGCCCAAAGGGCGAGTATGACAGGAAATCTAACAAGGAAAATGTATCTTTGTGGTGGTAATAAGAACCATACAGGTAACTGTTTTGAAGGAAAACTAAACAGGTTACCAGGGTTTCTCTGCAGGACTGCAGTCACAGAACTCATATCAGCTGAAGAAACTAGAGATGCTATTTACTTTGCTCATGTCTGATGTTCATAGCAGCTGTCTCCTATGCTGGCCATTCATTTTATCTGTGTTGCCTAGCATTTGAAATTCTTTAGGTTTCAGAAAACACTTCTACAGAAGAGACAAATGTGAATGAAATCTGTATATGATAGTAGTTATATGAAACCAAAAACTCCTGATTAGAAAAGCTCAAAACACGATGCATCAGATTCTTGTTGCTCCACACTTGATAATTCCTTCTTCTGAGTGAGCTTTACGCTCGCTTCTACTATATATTTTTCACTGTGCTTTTAGGCATTGATAATGCTCTTTCCATTCTCTGAAGTTAGACTAAGTCCTCCAATTAATAGAGAATTTACTATACATCAACTGCTCAGTGTCATCGAGTATTTAACTCTCCAAAGTCAATACAATTTCTACAGTGTACTGAGAATATAACATCTTCCACTAGCAACACAACATAGTGGTTGACCCCCCCCCCAAAAAACTAGTGAGCTCTAAAACAGGATGAAACAAAAGCCAGAATGAAAATAAAGTTCTTCCTTGTGTGAAGTTCAAATGCATGATGAAGTAAGAACTGCTAATGGCCAAGAAACTCAAAGGAAATCTGTTGGAAGACCCATGCTTAGGGCTAGTATCCTTACGACAATTACTTTTTACCTAGGAGACATTTTGTCCGTGTACATCTAGGATAAAACTCATCTCCTATTTTGCAATGTATTATGCTGTTTTCTTAAAAATTTAAGATCTATTCCTCACTCTGATACCATTACTGAGTTCTCGTCCTCCAGAATATACAAGATAATTTTATGACTTTATAAGGGCTTTTTTTTCCCCAGAAAGGACTGCATTAATATGACAAAAGAAACAAAACCAAAAAACTCCACAAACTAAACTTGCTCAAGTTAGTTGTAAGAATAATTTTGACTTAATTCACTCTGTCTTCAACATCTTGCACCTTTAGGATTCAATGCTGACAAAACATCGAAGCAATTCAACAACGTACTTCTCAGAATCATTTCAAGTCATGATTACCATAACAAGAACATAGTGTTAATTTGGGATGGGATGAGAGAGGAACATAATATGACAAAGATCCTTTAGGCTGAATATGTAAGAAAACACTCTACCAATTGATAAGATCTAAGGGGAATTTGTTACTAAGACCCACAGATTATTATAACACCATATCCCTTTCAATAATATTTGACATTAAAAAGCAGTTTTAGGATTTTGGCTTTGTTTATACAGATTTGTGGTTTATTTTCCAACAGATCTTTGAAATAAGGTATATCACTTGAATGTAACCAGAACAAATGAATGAAGAAGACATGAAAAAATCATGGAATGGATTGAAAAAGACCACAGTGATCATCAAGTTTCAACCCCCTGCTATGTGCAGGGTCATCAACCACCAGACCAGGTTGTCCAGCCTGGCCTTGAATGCCTGCAGGGATGGGGCATCCACAACCTCCTTGGGCAACCTGTTCCAGTGTGTCACTACCCTTTATGTGAAGAATTTTCTCCTAATATCTAACCTAAATCTCCCCTGTCTCAGTTTAAAACCACTCCCCCTTGTCCTATCACTATGTGCCCTTGTAAACAGCTGTTACCCTGCTGAGATGCTGTATTTGATCACTGCTTCGAACTACTACAGAGTTCACATAAAGTACCCTGAATCACACATATTAGTGAACCACAACAGGAGCATTAAAAAAATCTGAGTTAAAGGAATAGAAAGAGCAGGATATGCAAGGACAACTCTGCAGCTATTTTGCAAAATGAAGAAAATACCACTGCAAATCAACAAATTTAGCAGAAACATGGTTACTGGCGAGCTAGCTCAAGGTGTATGGTATTTCAGTAATTCTGCCATGTAACACTAGTGGTGTGCTGCTGTTTGTAACGTAACAAGCAATAAATCATAAGCTTATCCTTCTTACCCGCTCTATGCTACCTCATGCAGAGTCAGGAGCCGCCGGTTAAATCCTGCAACTATCTTTACTGAGGACAGTTTGCTGCTATACTACTTTTCATTCGCTGAAATCTCTACACAAACACCGTGAACCTCATTTGGCTACCAGCTCCTCTGCAAAGCTTAGCAGGCGCTTTCTGGCCTCCAGGCCCTCACAGCCCTTCCTTCAGCAGCCTCCCGCCACGCTGCCACTCCAGTGGGCGGGCTGACGGGGGGACACCTCACGCTGCGGACGAACCGCTTCACCTGCGTGCTCCCTCCCTACGGACCACGGCATCCGGACCCGCAAGGCCACGCTCCCGCGCACGTGAAGCCCCGACACCATCTCCCTGCCTCGAACCCTCGTCCCTCTCCGCAGCACACCGCCCGAGATGGCCTCTCCCAGCCCCGCCAAGCAGCCACTCACATCAACCGGGCCGCCGCCGCCGCCGCGCTCCTCGCCTCGCGCAGGGAGGAAGCCCGCTGGGACTGCCTCAGCGAGAGCCTGAAGCCGCCCGGCAGAAGCCTCGCGCCCCACCCCAACCGAGCATTGCTTTGGAAGCCCTCCCCATAACTCAACACGGTGAAGGAAAAAAGAAAAATTGGTTCTTTGTGTTGTTCGGTTTTTTTTTTTTTCAGGCCTAAATAAGAGGAAAACTCAGGCACCTCTCAGGGAGCCTCTGGGCGGGGGCCGGCGGGGCCGGCGGGCGGGAATTACGTCAGGGAGGGCGCCGCCCGCTGAGGTACCCGTGCTGCGTGCTGAGGTACCCGCCCTGCGCGAGCCCCGACCCTGCCCACACGGTTCTGCCCGAGCAGGCAGCTGCATGCCGGGCTCTCTTGAGGGAACGGCTCAGGGTGTGGGGCTGGGGGACGTTCTTCGGTGGCCGCTAGTGACGGGCGGAGCTGAGAGAGGGCCGTCAGGTGCCCGCCAGGTGTGTGAGCAGCGGCCCGATCAGGGGGTGCTGGGGCCGTCCGCGTGCATCGCCTCGGGGCTGCACTGCTGGCAGCGCTCTCGTCTATGGGGCCCAGTGATGCCTGAAGCATGCCTGGCGTTACCGGTGTTTCTAGCCCTCCTGTAGCAAGCTTATTGAAATCAATATCGCTTTTATTCGGGTTAATTCCTAAACGCCCGTGTATACTTCTCAATAGTGCTGCTCAGCGCAAAAAAGACATCGAGGACCTGGAGCGTGTCCAAAAAAAAGTTGCGAGGGGTGTGGAGTGTGAGTCTTACAGGGAGTGGCTGAGGGAGCTGAGATTGTTTAGTCTGGAAAAGGGGAGGCTCAGGGGAGGCCTTACAGCTCTCCACATCTTCCTGAGGGGAGGCTGTGGTAAGGTGGGTGTCTGCTTCTTCTCCCATGTAACCAGTGATAGGAAGAGAGGAAAGGGCCTCAAGCTGTGCCGGGAGAGATTCACATTGAATATTAGGAAAAGCTTCTCAGATAGAGTGGTCAGGCATTTGAGCAGGCTGCCCACGGGAGCGGTGGAGTCACTGGCCTTAGAGGTGTTGGTACTTAGGGACATGGTTTTGTGGGCAGTATTGGTATTAGCTGAGTGGCTGGACATCTTAGAGGCCTTTTCTGACCTTAATGATAGTGTGTAATCGAAATTGTAGCAAGCCCCATCTTTGTGAAGAGAGGATGGTAAAGCGAATTATGCTGGTAAACAGATGAACAGGTCAGGATTAGAAGAAACAGATTTCTCAAATGTTGCTCATATAGAACATCTTTTTAATGTTTACTGATGTCTCTGTTTCTCTTGTCTCTGATGCTTGAATATCACTGATTGGGTTTTACTACTTAAAATTGTTGTGAAACAACTTTCCAAATGTTTATCAGTCACTTGCGTCAGAATCACCAGGCCACTTACTTTTTTCCCCTCAAAATTTGCGTATTTGCTGCAGGTAAGGTTGAAGCCTTGCCAGATTTTTTTTTTTTTTTGCGCGTTAGCTGTTGGTCTCAAATTGAGTAACAGTATAATAATGAAAATTCTGAGTATTTATACTATTTATAATTATATAAATAGGTCCACTGAATTGCTGTAGATGGAATCTGAATCAAAGTTTTGAGGCTAGTTGTGCCCACGCTTAGGGTGGTGATCCTGGAAATGGCATGGTTTAGTGGGCATGGTGGTGATGAGTTGATGGTTGCAACAGGTGATCTTAGTAATCTTTTCCAACCTTAATGATTCTGTGATTCTGTAACTACCTTTTATGTACAGACTTCATTAGTCAGCCCAAAATATCTATTTTAGGGGACAAGAAAGATCTAAGCATGCTAACTGCTGAGTAGCTTTTTGCCCTTGACTCTGTTATTTCTTATTTGTAGGTGGAATACCTCTTTAAAAAGTGTCACAGTAGTTAGGAAATTTTGTAAACAAAAGCACGTTGTTATACCACTGGAGAATATGTCCAATAACACGCAGTGTTGCTTACATTTAGAATCATAGGCAGTCTTTCAGAATGTCTTTCTGTACAACCATGCTGTTTGCAGTGAATGTTTGTTATGCAAATGAAAAAAAAAATTTGTGGTGAACTAAATTTAAAATTTAAAAATAAAGCCGATAAGTGAATATTTTTGTTTATTTAAGACTTTGTGTGCTATGAAGCAAACTGGGTCTCTGGTTGTTGTTGTTATCCTAACAAACTCTTGCTTAGGTATTAAGAGTTACCACAAAAGGTATTTTCTTTTTATAAAATGGCCTATTTCATTGCAAATACTGGTGTTTAGTGAAAAAGCAGTATAAGTGTAGCACGTTCACCTGCTTTCTTGAAATTATCTTGATTGTTTTAAAAATATTTCAGTAACAGTACTGATTTTAATTACATTTTAATTCCGAAAAACTACGTTAATAAGGCAAGGATTGTGAATACCCATGTTCTGGGGAGGCATTTAGATAACTTGACATTCCAAATTGCAAAGAGTTATTAACCTGAGTTACTGCTGCATCATAAATACGATTCACAGGATGAATTCGTTCAGGTTGGTGTGACTGTACATGCAGTGCCTCCTTCTGAGCATCAAATGGCTGTGTGTGGCTGACTCGATTGCCTTCTGTTTGAGTGGAAAAATGATGGCTAGTGTTAAACTCTGAATAGAAATGTTTTCTTAGAGCAGTTTGTGCTTAGAGAGACAACAAAGGAGCTTGTTGGATGAACGGCTACCTTTCATATTTTATTTCTTAATGTTTGGTATGGGAAGATGGTTAAATAAATGATTAGTGAAATAGTTCTAATCTGAATGTGGACTACATACTTGCAGAGATTTACTTGCGGTGGGTTTTGCTGGGAACGTTAGTGTTTCTGTCCATCTTAAAGCTTTCTGAGGGAGATTTGGATGTGAGGAGTGAGCTGAGGAGGGTTATTCAGAAGTATGATGCAAAACAGGCCGCTTCTGTACTTCTAATCTTTATGCCAGACCTCTTTCGCAGATGCGGCACACTGTCTCTCATACACTCAGTAAATGGTGCTTTGGAAAGGACTCGGTAATTCTACATGACGCTAATAAGACAAGTCATCACTTCCTCCTCCATCCTCACTGTTTTGGATTATCAGAATTGAATTTCCAGAATTCAGTCCTAGAATTGAGTTTGCCTTAACTGTGCCTATTGTCAATTTAAAATAATAAACATTTTTTTCCTTTTCTCTTGTTACTTTGCAGTAATAAGAAGGCTCTGCAGAATATAATTCATTCTTATAATGTATAAAATTAATGCAATGCATGTCTTTTCTGTGGAGGAGAGATGAACTTCTGTGAACTGTTATACCCTGAACACAAGGGGAATGTGTAGTGCTCTGTATTTTTCTACCAGATTTTTTTAGTGAAAATTTTTTTAAAAACTCAGGTGAATTTTTAAGATGTGCTTAACATTTATGTTTGAGTTTAGAAATGTCTGTGAAGGCATTAGAATACTTTAGTTGAAAAGAGCTTTTAACTTGAGCTGTAACTGGTGGCCATTCTTAAAGTTGGTGGAAGGACTGAGCTTTAGTTTTGGAGTTACTTGATTTAGTTACTCAGTCCTTGGAGTCTATGGAAATGGAGAGTTAAGGACAGAGATCTGACCTTAACTGTAATAAAGTTATATGTTGACAGAACTAGCTCTTTTCCAGCATCAGAGATAATTTCTTTCATACATTTAGGGGAGTCAACAGAATTAACTCTGTAACAGGAGGACTTGTTTTAATGCATACCTCTAAAATTGATGATTCCTTTTAGTAGCTGTCAGGGACACTGTCTGTTTTTCTCATTTCTTCTGGTCTGTTCGTTGGTTCCCACCCGAACAAAGTGAGCAGTAGGTGTGCAGCTGTCTAGTTGAAAACATTGTGTATGATCTAATTCATCTTTGTACGCACAGTGCATCTAGAACACAAGAAAAGCTTAATCTCTTTAAAAGGTTATTGGGTTTTTGATATTTAGCAATTTTTTTCGTTAAAATTTCTTTCCAAATGTCAGCTGGAAGCAGGTGTAATGTATTACTTTCTCCACAGTGAAAATGAAAACATCTCTCATCTGAGTAAACATATTAAATATTTACACATATAATCCATCACAATGTTTGGCACAAGTTTACTCCTTCCATGCACCCCTCTGCCCAGACTGTAGTTATGTTAATGTTTCTTTATTTTAAAACAGTTATTGGAGGACTCGTGCCAAAGAAGGTTATAATTCACTTTCCAAATCCAATTTTTTTCTTCTTGGTTAATAAGTATTTTCTTTCTGAAGCCAGGTAGTTCTTTCTGGCAAACACAATGTTTTTGCAGGAATCTGAACCTTGGGTTATTGTAAAGACGCAGTGAAAGCTTCTCCACTGGAACTTGCTGCACACCCATAAATCTTTGTGCTTCCATTCAGTCCAGTCTATGTCTTTCCAGTGGTGTATTCTACCTGTTAGTTGCTTTTTGAGAATCATAAAATAAATCACTTCCCTAAAACACTAAACATTCATAAGATATGAAGACATTATATCTTTACAAAGATTTTTGATCACAAAAATACTACTATACAAAATCTGTGCCATTTTTGTATTTTTTTTTTGTCGTTGTTTGTTTTGAAGTCTGATGCCTTCATGCATTCATTCATATTATTTATGTCAGTATCTGTTAGAAGCTAAAGGACTGTTTCTCACATCTTTGTTTCTAAAGGAGAAATGCCACATGCACACAGATGAAAGCTGTCTTGTATTTGTTTTGTATCTTAAATCAAACTGTATAATTAAAAACAGAAGGTACACTTTGTAATTTCCAGTTGTATAGACTCAGTAAATACGTCTGTTGTATAAAGATCTCTGTGCAACCCATTATGGGAACAGAATCTCAGCTAAGATTCTTAAAAGAAAGTGAGTTTTACTGGGAGTTTTGTGCAGGGAACAAGGTTGTGATGTTGATCAAAAGGCTGATATAACAGCAGTATTTAGCTTCATTACTGATCAGTCTAATTTTTCAATCTTTTCTTATTATTTCTTGAAGCTCCTGTGCTGGTAAAAGATTTATCATGTCTGGTTTGAAATAATTATGTTGCTTTTATGCTACAACTTTTCCCTGCTATTTTTTTTTTTTTATGGGCTTTGAATCCTGCAGGTTCCTCCTCTTCTCCAATTTTCCTGGTGCAACTCTTTACGTGTTTCTCTGTTTAGGAGCTTATAAAGACCTTTTTCTAACTGATGAGCGAGTTGGATGTGCTTTCTGCATTAGATGGTGGGCTCTTGCTGTTGATTACATGCACAGAGGCCTCTGGAGTTGAAGCTAGCTGAATGGTAGCCTTCTGCATAAGCTTTTTCTGTTCTGTGGTCTCGTGTTATGTGGGCATGCTTCTCTGTCACAGCTTGCAGACCAGAGCTCACTGAAAAGTGAGCTTGGCTTTTTCATCTCTGATTGTGGGTGTGCTCTTATACACAAGTATGTTGCACTCCGACATTCTGTAAATTGCTTCCTTAATTTGTTAGTCAGTGTGGGAGCGAGTAGTACCTGTGGGTAGGAAAGAGGTATTGGTAGGACAGAAGACTGTTACTTTGCAGCTTAGACTATTAGAAATGCTATAGTATGTAGATGCTGGATTTTCACACAAGCAATGGCAATCTCGATTTGTGGCCTGCTGGTACAAGGTGGTACTTTAGAGGAATGTTTTCTCTTCAGTGTGGTTACTGGTTTTTAAGTACAGAACCTTTATATTGCAGTATTGCTCTGAAGATTGTCTGTGTTAAAGCGTTTGTCTGCTGCTAAACCCAGTTTTGACTGTTAAGTCTTTAAAACTGTCATTCTGTTTTCATGTTTAAGTGTAATGTTTATGATGCACCAGCACTGTGTTATTAATATGATGGTAATTATGCAAAAATATCCAGTTTCCCCTTACTGAGGAAGAAAAAAATGGAAGTGAATTATTTAATAAGCAACTCATGATTACAAGAATGTGTATTGTTTGTGTGTAAACTTTTTATCTATGCTTTCTTTTTAAGGAACACGGCCTGCTTGGAAGAGCTAAAGATTGTGCAGAGAAATGTTTCCTTTAAGAGATACTGAGATGGGTGCTTCCACCTTCTTTGCCTCAGCTCTTCCGCATGATGTTTGTGGAAGTAATGGCCTTCCTCTGACACCCAACTCCATCAAAATTTTAGGGAGGTTTCAAATCCTTAAAACAATCACCCATCCTAGGCTTTGCCAGTACGTTGATATTACCAGAGGTAAACATGGTGAGCATCTGTTTAATAAGGATATCTAATGTTTGCTTATTGTTATAATCTTGTGAAAAAATATCTGAAGATGACCGAGCAGAATATTGCCTTTATAGCACCTGTTAAGAAGGTTGCTGGTTTGCAGATTCAAAATAACTGCACACTGTTCTGTAACTGGTGATCTTGGTGCCTTTGTTTCTTCTTGCAGAGTCAAGGCAGAGGCTCATCGTGTTTTCTTTTGTTATGCATCATGGTAACTGATAAAAGCTAAAAATTCTGGTACTCGGTTGTTGCACCATGACTTTGAAATACATCTTTTTTTTTTTTTATGCCAAGCTCCTGTGCTGTGTTTGTGTGATCAGTTTCATATGATGGTTCGATCTCTTGTACGTTTGCAGCTGTTCTACAGTCTCAGTCTCAGCTTCCTTTTCCTTAGTGTCTCAGTTTCCTTTCTTTTTTTTTTTCTTTTGATTTCTAGCTGTCTTAAGATCTCTCCTACTAAAAATTACTTTATTCTAATATGGAGGATTTCTTTTTAAAAACTTGTCATATGTATTTTTAGCTGAAATAAGGCTTCGGTTGTTTTTCCTGTTCCACATGATCTCATTCTGTTGCAAGCTCAGTGGGACAACAGCACTTAATTTCCACAAAAAGTCTGCAACACTTGTGACCGAATTTCTATAGTTGCCAGCCTCAGCTGTTAAACCAACAGTGGTCCAATATAAAAGTGCACTGTGTGAACTTATGAGACAGTTTAACTGATCAAACAAAGTAGAACAGGTAATGTATTTTCATTTAGAGTGCAAAATGATAGGATGTTTCAGATTTTTAGAGAATTGTGATAATGCCAAGTAAACGTGTTGTGAAGTGTTCCAAGGGGCTGTGAGGAGGGGAGCATGCAGAAGTTCTTTGAGTATGTTTTCATTTGCTCTCAAACTCACAAATTTTTAGATTTCTGTAGCCAGGAAATCTAGCAAGATTGTTTATTTTATCTTAATTTTGCTAGTACCTCTCAAAGCAGAAAATGGGATTTACTTATTGTAGTGTTCAAGGTGAGAGATTAAGAAACATTAGCCACCATAAGCATTAGATACAAGAGATATATAGGCAAACTTGACTGGTTTGACAGTGAAGACACATGAAGGTTTGAGTGCATGGAAATATAAAGGAAAATACTCGATAACTCGATAAAGTAGTTTGCAGAAAAGCAAGTAAAATGTTTAACAGTGAAGCTGCTGTAGTGATTAGAATAACAAGTAATTTATCAAAGATACAGCTTTTCTTGCAAACATACTAACATTGATGGGAAATCTTATTCTTCTGATACTGACAGAATTCTTGTTATCCTATGTGTAGTGATTTGATGTTATTTTTCTTCAAAATGTCAGTTATGACTTGCATGCCATGAAGTACTTTCTGTCTTTGTTACTGTAAGTCTGGTAAGACTACTTATGTTTGGGATAGTTACTTTGGTTTGGTTTTGAATTTGAAAGTTCACTTCTAGCTGTTCTGTGAGTAGCAAAAGCAAAACCTTCCTCCCCTGTGCACTGTCCTGTACCATCATCTTCCTTTTATATTTGCTAGCTTCAGTGTAACAATAGCTTTCTTTTGCTCTGTATTCGATTAGATGAGATTCCTGTGCTCCTTCTGAATCCTTTTCCTCAAAGTTGATGTTACTTTAAATCTCTCTCTTGTCACCCTGACTGGAGATTTCTGCAAACATGTGGATGCTAATCTTTGAAACCTCTGTTAGCCAAATCTGACTGTCACTGGCTGAAAGGTTTTATAAAATTCTATACTTTTGCGTAAAAAAAAAAAAAAAAAAAAAAAAAAAAAAAAAAAAAGTGTTTTGGTGAGGTTGTCTGCTGTATTTCATAAATGAAAATGGTTGTGATGTACACAACTAGTACATAGCAGCTCAATATGTGTAATTTTATGCACAGTGTATGTCAAAATAGTGTAACATCTGCCAGGTGGGTACTGAGAGGTCTGAACTCGGATTCTTACATACTTTTTCTTTTTTCCTATTAGAGAGACTGGTTGTGGCTGCTGAACACTGTGAAAATAGTCTGGAAGATTTGCTACGAGAGGGAAAGCCAGTCAGGTAAGGTGTCAAGTTAAACTTCTCAAAGTTTGACATATGTATGGCAAATTCCTGGCCTTTTTTTTTTTTTTTTTTTTTTAATTTAAACTTTTGCTGGTTTGCATAAATTGTATTCTCGTAGAGCTCAGCATATAAACATTGTTTATCAGATAAACGCATGCCTGGAGTGCACATTTCTGTACAGTTCAAGAAGCTAGAGGAGTTATGGGGGGTTGTATTGCAATGGAAATACTTTGTAACTCAATCTACTTGTAATAGTAGTTTTGGATTTTCTTTTTTAGAACACAGTCAGACCTCTTTGGGGTCAGTATCTTCCTAATAACGATTTTGAATTTTTTTTGTGTCCCTGATGATGAAATTCTGCTTTCACTAGAAGGGAGAGAATTTGATGCATGCAGACATCTGTTAACTTATTAACTAGAGACTGGACAGGATGTAAGATACCTATGCCAGGCTGTTAATAAGCAGTTTTAATTTGGGCTGATATAGCCACTCCACCAAGACTTTGGTCCAAAGTTAAGAGCACTAGCTTTCATGCTAGAGTGTGTAGAATAGTTGAGCTTTATCTTTAAAGAAGCAAACATAATTTGTTTTTGGCTTGTTGCTGGGAGTTTTAACTGGGATTTTAAATGTAAAGAGCCTATCCATATTGCCTTTGGAGGAAAGACAACCCTGCTCCTGAAGAGTAAGTAAGAGTAACACAGGGATCATGAAGAGTAGAGGAAAAGAAACATGATGTCTTGCTATCCCAAGTGTGTTGGCTGGTTATTTCTAGAACGCAAGAAATATGAACTTAACATGTTTGGAGAAATCCAGTCTGTTCAGTTTCTCAAAGGTTTATACCACACATTACATCTCACACTCTTGGCATTCACGTAAGTTTAGTGAATATGCTTGCTTAGAAAAAATGTCTGATTCTGTGTGTGTGTGTGTGTGTGTGTGTGTGTGTGTGTGTGTGTGTGTGTGAGTGTCTTCCCAATTAACTGCAGTTAGCATTAGGCATCTGAATTGAGCTATGCTTGATGAAATAGCATCCAGGTACAATTCCCGTGATTAATCCCAAGATAAATTTGAAATAAGGAGTAGGCTGCTAAACAGAATGCTAACAATGTTTTTAGGCAGAGGTAAATCTGAATACAAAATGCTCTGTTGCCAGTATGTTAGCTTTTGGTGAACAACAGCTTGAATGGCATTCTATGTTGCAGAGGAATGTTAGGCAAATATGGCTTCTATTTTCTTTTTTCAGATAGAGAGGTATTTAAAGATGATGTGTAAAGGGCTTTTCATGTGTGATATAAATTGCAGCCCTTCACATGGTTTTGCATCAGGTTCTTATTGTGCAAAGTTCCAGAAATAGTGAAAGCATCAGAAGCTCTTTTCTTCCCAGTTCTCACACTGGCTTTTGAACATGTGTGTCTTGGTGTCGTGTGAGAAGCAGCCCAGTCTGTCTGCTGTCTCTTGACTGTTTTTGTAGCTATTTCAGTTTTCTTTGAATTGCTTGATACAATTCATACGTATGTTTTGTTGCTATGGAAGGGAAAAGTTCTCTCTCAAAATTCTATAAATGAATCTTCATCACACAGTGGTTGTGTTCTGTATGCGTATCTGTCATGCCCCTCTGTATCAGCTGTGTTTTGTGGCATCCTGAAAGGTCTTTGAGAGTAGGTGGGTTGTTGAGGTACGCAGGTTGTTGTTTTGGCATGCCAAGATAACGTATTTAGTCTGTTATAGTTATCTTAGCTATTTTGGCTGTTGTTCTGTTGAGAAGATGCATAAAGCCTGGCATTACCTTTTCCTTTAGACTTGATATAGTAGAAGATATAGTCTATACATCAGTATAGACTCTCTGATCTTTGTTTCTATGAGTCAGCTAGGATTTTTTCAGGAAGTTGTGACACTTGAGGCATTGGGTTAACATATAGCCTTTATGTATGTTCCTAACTTTCAGACATCAGTGATTTATCTACTGTAGATAATAGCCTTTGTGATAGTACATAAGAGATAAATTATGTTCACTAAAAAATGAAGTTTCTTGCAAGGCTGACATTTGCCCCCTTCCTGAAAGCACTCAAGGCCAGGCTGGAGGGGGCTTTGAGCAACCTGGTCCAGTGGGAAGTGTCCTTGCCTGCAGCAGGGGGGTTGGAACTTAAGGGTCCATTCCAACCTAAACTGTTCTGTGATTCTGTGGTTTTCCCTCTATCTTTTTTCTTTTTTTTCCTTAAATTAAAACAGACCTTTTTTGTTTCTTTTGTGAGACCTATAAATTTCTGGAAACAACTTGGATAGACTAATTCCCAGTTACTGGTTATCTGAACTGTCAGTATTAATTACCTTTGGAGGGAAGTATTTGACTTCTTCTATGTGTTTTGATTGCATTTGTCAGTGATGGCCAAGCTGGTTACACATCCGGACTTGATAGGTATGCTATTGCAATTAATTTTATAAGTTGTTTATGGAATGTGAAAAGCTGCTCTTCTGCTCTCCAGATTAATTCTCCTTATGCTTGCCAGTAACTTAAGTCCTTTGCACCTGTACCACAAGCTGATGTAAAATCAGCAGGAAATCTTCTATTATGCTATTGCAGAAATTTAAGATGTGATGTTATGGACTGTCCATCTTGGAAAACAGGCCATACAGCTGTCTGGTAGTTATTTGCAGCTAATCTTGTCTGAAGTCATGCATCAAGTGTAGCACACATTCCCTAATATATGAATTATAGTTTTAAAAAAAAAAACAGCTGAGTAATTAACCTCAGAGTTTTATCAGCTTTTCCAGTTCTAGTGAGTCATGTGCACATAGGGGCCAAATACTGGAAATCAGTATACTCTAACATCACCATCAACATAACTTGCTCTGTTGCTGGGCAGTAAGTTTTATTGCTGAGCATACCACCAAAAGTTTCTGGAATATGGATTTGTGATATACTCAGGAATTCAGTCTTAATCCTGTGGCAGCACACTCCAGAAGTTGCAGTAATGATTTGCAATTGTCCTTAAAATTAATGTGCTCGACTTCACTTGCAAAATGTAGTGCTAGTAAGTGTTTGATAACTGATAGCTGGATAACTTTCTTTTCTGAGTGATGGGATCCTAAAAGTAGCACGTGCTGTGGTTGCATCCATCATCCAAATTTCAATAACTCTCCAGTGGATGAAATGAGTAGAGTTCTTGTGATTGTTCTTGTATGTAACCAGATGCAGAAGAGGAATTTAGCAGTTCTTCAGTGTCTTCCATGTTTCTTTGTTTTTCTGAGGGTGGCCACATGGACATTGTTCCCTTCTTGTTTATTCCTAATTTAATATTCTGTTTGTTTTTATTGTGAATCAGAGAAAGTAAGTACTTAATTTTAGCTAGTAACAGTCATTATTCAAAAACTAGCTCTCAGAAATATGTTGAGGAGTCTTATTTTCTTAAGGAGCTAGGAACTCATGTACATAGCAAAGCACAATAGTAAATATCTAATTTAAACATGTAGTAGTTTAGTGCTGTTTGGAGATTTGAAAATGTGTCTTAAAGTCTGGCTGACTTCCTCTGTGTCTCCTTGTGCATGCAAGGATTTATTGTAAATGAATTGAACATAAGTCACAAAAAATCATGAAGAATTAAACTGTTGTACTTCAGAAGTTTCACTAAGGGTAGTTTTCAAGTTTGTGGAAGCCAAAACTTTACTAGATTTGCTCAGTTACTAGTTCTTTTAGCCCTGGTGATACCACAAACCAGAATGTAGCATGTGAATTTATTTTTAAGATTCTCTGTCTTTTAAACACATTTAAAACTATTCCCATGGGATACCTTTGCCAGACAGTGTTAAAGGAATTATTTTCTCTGCTTCTGTGCTGTTAGAAGACTTGGGAGTTTTGCCTTTTCAGTCACACTTGAAGTGTGTTCATTCTTTCAGGAAGCTGGTCTGCACTTGTACTCATAATAATAAAAATGCCAGCAAATAGTGACATTCGGCAGACTTGGCACCTACAGCTGAGTTTCTGAATTGGTTTTCAATTTGTGGCTTGGGCAGCCTATGCTTATTCCTTTCTTCAGTAAAATATAGTCTTATGTTTTGCAAGTTAGGATTTTCAGAAATTACTAGTGAACCATCAGAGATGCAAGGTATGGTGTGTTATGCATGCAGCTTTTGATTGGATGCAGGCTGTGTCCACAGCTGTTTACTAGTTGGGAGAAAACATGAGCTGAGTGATGCAGATGATTACATTTTATTTGACTGTATTGTCTGCACATTGATTAAATTTTGTTATGCTGTCTTTGCCATTAATGTACTTTTGGCAAACTTGAAGTGAAGCTGTGTAATAGAAGGTAGTGGTAAATGCAGAGCATGAGGAAAGCAGTTCTTGAGTAGCCAGGGATTCCTCAAAAATTTTGTAAGTCAGGTGCAAATCATCAAAAGGCTGATGGTTTTACATGATTTGACTTGAAGAGCTGCGTATGAGCAGAACTTCAAGGGCAGAGTGCATTCTGCTTTGAATCAAGTCTGTGCTGGAATTTCACATGAGAAATCCATATGTCGTAATGAGGTTGCATTTAGAAAGGATAAACGGTCAAGCAGTAAAATGGAGTGGCATTAATAAAGAAACTTCTTAAAATTAGTTTTTTTCCAAAGCATGTGTGAGAATCTGATTTGGGGTGTTTAGTGGCTGTTGTTTGTCTTTCGTTTCTTGCAATGGGTTCTTTCCAAAACTATACTGAAAGATTAGATGTTAGTCCTGACTCGTTTGTGTGTTATTCAATGCTGCTTTTCTCAACATAACAACATTTTGATTTCTGTAAGTATGAGGGTTGCTCTGAAAGTAATGCCTTCCAGTTTATGATGCCCTACGACATTAAAGGTGGATGACAGCAGTAGAGATTGAGCCTTCCCACCAATGATCCATTACTTCTTGTTGCTGTGCGATAGATGGCAGCAAAGGGGGCAGTCTTACAGAATGGCAGCTGATGTGGAAGTGTGTATGGAGCAAAGGTGTGAGACTGAATTCCTGTATATGGAAA